CTCTTCTTGACTTGATGGTTTGTGAAGAGAAATCTGCCATTATTCTGATGGGTTTTCTTTTAAATGTGATCTATTTCTTTTCTCTAGCAGCTTTTAGTGTACTGTTCCTGTGCTGAATTTCTGGGATCTTGATTATTATATGTCTGGGTGTGGTTTTAATTGGGTTGATGTTACTTGGATTTCTATATGCTTCGGTTACCTGAATGTCAGATTATTTCCTCATATTTGGGAAGTTTTCTGCTATTACTTCTTCCCATATTCTTTTTATGCCATTTGCATTGACTCCTTCTTTCTCATTAATGCCTATTAGTCTCACATTGTTTATCTTTGCATCATCTTGCAGATGTTGAATTATTTTTTTCCTGCATCCTAGTTGTTTTTAAGAGATCTTTTCTTACATGTGTACTAGCTGCAATGGTGTCTTCAAGGTGTGAAAGTCTATTCTCACTTTCATTCAAATGGTTTTGTCAGCTTGTGATTGTGGTTTTAATTTCCTGTATATCACTTTGAATCTGCTTCATGCATTCTATTTGTTTCCTATATTGTTCATTCAAGCATTCCATCATTTTTCTTTCTTCTTTTTTTTAACATCCAGTTTTATTTTTCATTTGGTACGTTTTAAATATACTTAATGACAGCATTTATCATAGGGAATTTGTGTATAAACATGATATATTTTGATTCTTTTTTTCCCACTCCCTTCCTTTCCCCTCCCTTCAACTCCTTTTCCTTCATTATTTACAAAAGTGAGGTCACCAGTTTTTATTCCTATTATCTTTTTTTCTTGTCCCCTCTGTTCTTCCTTTCTTCATGCCCTCCTTTGTTCTGAACTCCTTCCCATCTGAACCTTTTCTTATTATTTCCCAAAATGTAGATTGTTGTATATGATCAAGTATACTTCATTATACATGCTAAAATAAGATATCCTCTAAAATAATTCCTGTTGTATCTTCTAGTGCAAAAATTAGTACCAGACTCAGTCTTATTTTGGGGGAAATAGAGTATGAGAAGCCAATATTTGCACAGTGATCCCTGAATTGTGTGTGTGTGTCTATCATTTTTCTATTCTCTCTTTTTTTTTTAATCAGTGTTTTCTTTAGAAACACTTAGTACTAATAGTTATCACTTCTTTTTTTAACTTCAGAGATTATTTCTGATCTGATTTCCTCTATACCTTTCTGCAGTTGTTTCTTTACTTCTGACACTATTATTTCTGAGATTTCAGATGTGTGATTTCCAATTTCTTCTAGGCTATTGTCTCCTGCATTTGTTCTGGGTGGGCTTGGGGTCTGAGACTGCATTTTGCTCCTTCTCTTTGTCATTTTGTGTAGCACTGTCTTCTGACCTTTGGTGTAGAGCTTTGATAGAGTTATTACCTTAGCACCAAGTCTGGATCTACCACATTCAAACTCGTCCAGGTGGGTGTGGCTTGGGCCTGGTTGCTGTGCTCCACTTCTTCCTGCTGCAGCTCTTGGAGGCGAACCCTCTGTGCCACTCTGGCAAGATGTTCTGCTCCTGGGTTAGCTGCGTGGGTCTTGCCTCTGTCCTCTCTTCAGGGAGTTCTGCTGCAGGATTCCACACCTGGCCTGTCTGATGGAGGAAGTTCCATTCATATGCTGGCTGGAATGAAGATATGCGCCCCAGGCAGTCTCACTCATGTGAGGCCTGCGCTCTGAGTTGAATGAGGATCTGACCAGTCCCGGGCAGTCCCATTCACACACTGGGCCTGGGTCGAGTGAGGACCCGGTGGGCCCCAGGTGATCCCACTCACATTCAGGCCTGGGTCGAATTTGATTTTAACTTTTAATGAGATGCTAGAACATTGGTGTTTGCTAGTCAGTATACAATATTTTCCTGCCAATCAAAGGCTTATGGAGGACAAAATAAGAACAAAGAACATTGGCTGATATCCTGGTCTTCCCCCTGTATGAGTCTGTTTGTCACTGTTATGACAGAGTACCCAAGGCTGAGTTCTTTATATTTAAAAAGAGGTTTATTTAGCTCACAGTTGTGAAGACAGAAAGTTTCCTAAGATCAGACTGCCCCATCAGTTTGGCCCATGGTAAGAGCTCTGTGGCAGGTGGTGTCATAGTTGAATGCTTGTGGAAGAGGCCACATGGTGAGCCAGGAAGCAGAGATGAGGGGAGTCTAGTCTTCTTATGACAAAAATCACCCCAGTGACTCAGTGACCTTCCTCCAAGCTCGGCCTTTTAAAGGTTCTATCTCCTCATGCTGTTATACTGGGCTCAACACCTGACCCTCTGAGGGACATGACACGTGTAAACTGTGTCTAAACCATAGCACCTACCATGTCAGAAGCTCCTCACTACACAAACATGTCAAGCCTATCGTATCTATGCTCTGTCAACGCTGGGCATGCTCACCTCTTCTTTCATTTGTCATAATAGGTACCATTTAAACTGTTTTAAAGTACATAATTCAATCCATCAGCATTAAGTACATTTGCACTATCATGCAACCATCACCACTGTGTATTTCTAAATCTTTTTTATTACCCCAAGCAGAACTTGTGATAATTAAGCAATGGATTTCCTCTCCCACGCACACCCCAAATCCCTGGCAGCCTCTAATATACTGTATTACTGACTATCTAAATTTATACCTATTTTAGATACTTGCTAAAGTGGAAACAGATAATGTTTCTTTTTGGCACGGTTATTTCACTTAGCATAATTATTTTCAAGGTTTATCCATGTTGTAGGTTGTATCAAAATATGTTCATTATTTTTTATATTAAAACTTTAATGGCCTCTATCAAGACCAACTTTTTAATACTTTTCTGATCACATGCCTCTTTTTTTTTT